TGCAGGCGCGGCGTGCTTGGGCGCACTCGGTCACTCATGCAATTGCTGGCACGCGCGCACTCGGACTCACATGCGTGCAACTGCAGGCACGGCGTGGCACGCGCGCACTCGGTCACTCGTGCGTGCAATTGCAGGCAACTCAGACACGTGCAATTGCAGGCACGGCGTGGCACGCGCGCACTCAGACTCACATGCAACTGCAGGCGCGGCGTGCTTGGGCACGCGCACTCGGTCACTCGTGCGTGCAATTGCAGGCACGCACGCACTCGGACTCACATGCAACTGCATGCAATTGCAGGCACGGCGTGGCACGCACGCACTCAGTCACTCATGCAATTGCTGGCACGCGCGCACTCGGACACTCATGCAATTGCTGGCACGCGCGCACTCGGACTCACATGCATGCAATTGCAGGCGCGGCGTGGCACGCGCGCACTCGGTCACTCATGCAATTGCTGGCACGCACGCACTCGGACTCACATGCGTGCAACTGCAGGCACGGCGTGGCACGCACGCACTCAGAGACACATGCGTGCAACTGCAGGCAACTCAGACACGTGCAATTGCAGGCACGGCGTGGCACGCGCGCACTCAGTCACTCATGCAATTGCAAGCGCGGCGCGCGCGCACTCAGACTCACATGCAATTGCAGGCGCGGCGTGCGCACGCACTCGGACACTCATGCAATTGCAGGCACGGTGTGGCACGCACGCACTCAGTCACTCATGCGTGCAATTGCAGGCACGGCGCGCATGCACGCACTCAGAGACACATGCGTGCAATTGCAGGCGCGGCGTGGCACGCGCACGCACTCAGACTCACATGCAATTGCAGGCGCGGCGTGCGCACGCACTCGGACACTCATGCAATTGCAGGCACGGTGTGGCACGCACGCACTCGGACTCACATGCAACTGCAGGCACGGCGTGCTTGGGCGCGCGCACTCAGACACTCGTGCAATTGCAGGCACGGCTTGTGCGCACACTCGGACTCACATGCATGCGTGCAATTGCAGGCACGGCGTGGCACGCGCGCACTCGGACTCACATGCAATTGCAGGCATGACGTGGCACGCGCGCACTCAGTCACTCGTGCAATTGCAGGCGCGGCGTGGCACGCACTCACTCAGACTCACATGCGTGCAATTGCAGGCACGGCGCGCGCGCACTCAGACTCACATGCAACTGCAGGCACGGCGCGCGCGCACTCGGACTCACATGCGTGCAATTGCAGGCGCGGCGTGGCACGCACGCACTCAGTCACTCATGCAATTGCAGGCACGGCGCGCGCGCACTCAGACTCACATGCAACTGCATGCACGCACGCACTCAGTCACACATGCGTGCAATTGCAGGCACGGCGCGCGCGCACTCGGACTCACATGCGTGCAATTGCAGGCGCGGCGTGGCACGCACGCACTCAGTCACTCATGCAACTGCAGGCGCGGCGTGCTTGGGCGCGCGCACTCGGTCACTCGTGGGTGCAATTGCAGGCACGCACGCACTCAGACTCACATGCGTGCAATTGCAGGCACGGCGTGGCACGCACGCACTCAGACACTCATGCAATTGCAGGCGCGGCGTGGCACGCACGCACTCAGACTCACATGCGTGCAATTGCAGGCACGGCGTGGCACGCACGCACTCAGACACTCATGCAATTGCAGGCGAGGCGTGGCACGCACGCACTCAGACTCACATGCGTGCAATTGCAGGCACGGCGCGCGCGCACTCAGACTCACATGCAATTGCAGGCACGGCGCACGCGCGCACTCAGACTCACATGCAATTGCAGGCACGGCGCGCGCGCGCACTCGGACTCACATGCAACTGCAGGCACGGCGTGGCACGCACTCACTCAGACACTCATGCGTGCAATTGCAGGCACGGCGTGGCACGCGCGCACTCAGTCACTCATGCGTGCAATTGCAGGCGCGGCGTGGCACGCACGCACTCAGACACTCATGCGTGCAATTGCAGGCACGGTGTGCACGCACTCGGACTCACATGCGTGCAATTGCAGGCACGGTGTGCACGCACTCGGACTCACATGCAATTGCAGGCACGGCGTGCTTGGGCGCGCGCACTCAGTCACTCATGCAATTGCAGGCACGGCGTGGCGCGCGCGCACTCAGTCACTCATGCGTGCAATTGCAGGCGCGGCGTGCTTGGGCGCGCGCACTCAGACTCACATGCGTGCAATTGCAGGCACGCACGCACTCAGACTCACGTGCAATTGCAGGCACGGCGTGGCACGCACGCACTCAGACACTCGTGCGTGCAATTGCAGGCACGGCGTGGCACGCGCGCACTCAGACTCACATGCAACTGCAGGCGCGGCGTGCTTGGGCGCGCGCACTCGGTCACTCGTGGGTGCAATTGCAGGCACGCACGCACTCAGACTCACATGCGTGCAATTGCAGGCACGGCGTGGCACGCACGCACTCAGACACTCATGCAATTGCAGGCGCGGCGTGGCACGCACGCACTCAGACTCACATGCGTGCAATTGCAGGCACGGCGCGCGCGCGCACTCGGACACGTGCAATTGAACGCACGCATGCGCGCGCACCCCCAAGGCTCCCGGTTCAGCTGCAGACCAGCCTCGCGCCCGGGCCTCAGTCGCGCCCGGGTCCCCCCTTCCCCCGGGACTCGCAGTGCCCGTCTGCGAAATGGGCACAGCAGACAGCAAGCCACCAATGCGCGCATGCGCGCGCCCCCAAGGCTCCCGGCTCTCGTGCCAGGCTCTGTCTTTCTTTCTGGGGACCCCCCCCCCCCCGGCGACGCCCCACACGCCCCTCCTCCTTGGAAATGCAAAAAAAGAGGCCGCAGGATTCGTTTTTATTTGTTTATTTACCTCTATTTTTATTTTTTAAATTTATGTTTTTCAGGATCTACAAGATTTTTTTTCCTGGCTATTTGCCTCTGTTTTTATTTTTGGGGACAAGAGTCTCGCTCTGCAGCCCCGCGGCTGGAGTGAGTGCATTGGCGTCAGCCTCCCTCACGGCGGCCTCCAGCGAGCCTCCTGCCTCGGCCTCCCTGCCGGGTAGCTGGGACTACAGGCACGCGCCACCACGCCCGGCTCGTTTTTTCTATATATATATTACTTGGCCAATTAATTTCTTTCTATTTTTTTAGTAGAGACGGGGTCTCGCTCTTGCTCAGGCTGGCCTCCAACTCCCGGCCTCCATCGAGCGATCCTCCCGCCTCGGCCTCCCAGAGCGCTGGGGTGACAGGCGGGAGCCTCCCCGGCCAACCCCGTCCCCCTGGGGGGCAATGACACCCCGGGGCTATTTCCGGAGCCCCAGGGGGGACACTGGGGAGGAGGGAGAGAGGAGGGGGAGGGGAGGAGGGAGAGAGGAGGGGGAGGGGCTCCCATGGCTGCGGAGGCCAGGGCCAGGGGAGGCCGGGTGGAGGCTGTCCGGCAGGAGGCCGGGCCGGGCCTGTCCTCACCCCGGGGAGGGGCAGCGCCGGCCGGGCCGAGCTGCGGACCTTGGCCTCCGCGGAGGCCGCCTCTGCTTTCCCGCCTGGGCAGCTCCGGGCGGCCAAGGGGCAAAGGGCGACGGGTCCCGGACTTCGGCCTCAGCCTCCGCCCGCCCGCCGGGGTGCGGCCCAGAGAGCCGGCCCGTCGTCCCAGCACTCTGGGAGGAGGCCGAGGCGGGAGGCCCTCTCGAGGCCGGGAGTTAGAGGCCGGCCCGAGCAAGAGCGAGACCCCGTCTCTACTAAAAACAGAAAGAAATGAGCTGGACAACTAAAAATACATAGAAAAAAAAAAAACGAGCCGGGCGTGGAGGCTCACGCCTGGAGTCCCAGCCTCTACTCGGGAGGGAGGCCGAGGCCGGAGGCTGGCTGCTGGAGGCCAGGAGTCGGAGGCTGCTGTGAGCGAGGCCGACGCCACGGCGCTCACTCCGGCCCAGGCGACGGAGCGAGCCTCAAAAAAAAAAAAA